CCAGAGACCCCTATGCGGACAGGGCGGCGCCGCCTCCACCACCTGCGCGCTACTCGTATTAAAGTGCACCACTGCGCTTTTGTAATCCAAGGTGAGAATAGGTCCCGCAAGCCAAATAATATAGAACCCAGAATGTACATACATACGCTGCTCTGCGTGTGTAATTGATGCGCAAGTAGCAGTAACGTAAACTTTGTATCAAAGTGCCTTGGCGTAAATTTTTAATGGCCTTATGGTCTTTTAAATAGCACTGCTCGATGAACGCTAAACTTCATATCGAAGTGTTTAGATGGTAAATTCTGCTGGTAAATTAAATTCACTTCGCATAAATCAAACAGACTTCATACAAATCTTTATTTTAACTTAGCTTGTCGATTCAGTAATCCCAGATGGCACTGCAGCCGTTTGACTCATGTGGTTTGCTCTCTTTCCAGGTGTAAATTATTCAACAAGATCGTCGTCGTCGTCGTCTCCAGGTGCACGTGCCGCGATACGTCTTTGTCTGCCAGAGCGCGTTTCGTTCGCCTGCGCACCATAGTGGAAGAGTTCTGTTGCAGACTGCACATTCTATAAAACTACCGCTTTTACACGCATAAAATCGTCCTCATGCTAAATTGTCAACTCTGCTTTATTTTATTTTATTTTTTTGCCTTGTTTTTATTGTTTAACATTTGATAGGTGAGAGAGGCACTAAGCCAGAGCACGTCAATTAGGTTAACTTGGTGGTTTGGTAAAGACTATGAAAGGAACGCATATTAAAAATTCTTCTTTCAAAGAACACTTCAATGTATCTCACTGTACATTTTTACCTTTAAAATCTGGAATGAGCTTATCGTTTGTTATTAAACTACTGTAACGAGCACTATTCCATAACTTTGATTTTGAACCAAAAATTCATTTGTGTAATTCATTTTTTTTTTCTCGCTCTTTTTTTTTTTTTTTTTTCCCTCTAAGCTATTTGTTAAAGTGCGGCATGCAAGTAAAAATACATTCTCCACAGCAATAAAACCTTTCCGTCTACTGGCTTTATTGAAATTGTGCTGTAGTGTGGATTTTAGTTGCAGAGTATCGAAGTTAAAGGACTTTGTATCATTTTCTTTCATAGGAACACTTAACAGTTTTAATAAAAAGACTGGAACTTGGTCCGTCATTTTGCTTTTCTTGCTAACCTTTTAAACTCAACATGCCTAAATAGGCATAAAAGTAACTATACTAGACATGTATTCGAATTAAAACCCATAACATCATGCTTCCTAGTTTGAGTATCACGGAGAATGGAACTGCTTCTGCGGCGAAATGAAAGCGATTATACCATCACTTCGTCTTCAAGGCTATTCTTTTGCTCTAAACCAGGGGTAGGCAAGTTCGGTCCTAGAGAGCCGCAGTCCTGCAGAGTTCAGCTCCAACCCTAATCAAACACACCTGAACAAGCTAATCAATGTCTTCAGGATTACTAAGGCTATAGGCAGGTGAGTTTTTCTTTTCTTTTCAGGGTTGAAGCTGAACTCTGCAGGACTGCGGCTCTCTAGGACCGAACTTGCCTACCCCTGCTCTAAACCATTGGCGTCTCAATATTCCTGGTCTGTCCAAATAATCCTATCATTTTGATTCATTAAGTGGATCGACTTCCCAATGTTTTCTTAAACAATCAGTGGTCCTTTTTAAGTTTGATTATGCCAGGTAAGTCACTTGTTGCATTTAGTTTCTTTACCACTCAGCATGCCTTTCACTACTTAATTGTTTCAAGGTATAGCTTTAGTACACCGACTGTATATGTGTCTCAGTGAAATGTATTTGGGTCCATATGTTTTCCTCATGCAAGTGATGATATACTTTAGGATGAACTCATGCCTGAGGGTAAGTTTTAGGTTAACTTATGCATTTCCCCCTTTCTCTTAGTTCTGTATTTATTTTACAATAAAATGTGTAGTTATGGCTGTTCGTTCATTTATTTGTGGGACACCAAATGCATGTGCCTCTTTTGGCAATGATCTCAACATAAAGTTTTATTTATTTTCCATTTAAGGTGAATGCACTTTCAATAAACCAATAAAACATTTTCCCCCCTGCCCAAACTACGTGTTGGTGGTTATTTTTTAAGAATATGGCAGTTGTGTATTAAGGTATAAGTGTGTATGTATGCATGTATACAATGTATGTATACATGTAAAAGTTTAACACTAATATGTGTGTATATATTTACAAAGTTTATATGTGTATGTTTTTAATATATATATATTATAAAAATATATCTTAAAACGCATTTACATTGCTTAATCTTTATAATATAGGGCTAAACTGCCAAATGTGTTAGAACATGTGAAAGTATTTGAAATGGTGACTTTACATTTAAAGCAACTAAGCTATTTTAACACCTACTGGATCACTCCTGGCCTTACATACAAATTGTCCTTCTTTTTTTTTTCTTGTTTGAACTTTCAAAATTTAACATTTTCTCAATTTTTCCATTTTGTGAGGACCAACAGAAACAGCAATAACTTAATAAATTGAAAAAACAAAGTCTCCCTGACATGTTGCTTCAACACTAACTGCTGTTACTGAAACCATGCCTTCTTTCTTTGCGTGCACATTTGGGTGGCATTATGGTAATATTTCCACATAGTGAGGTAGATATGTGGGGGCGTGTTAGAACGAGCCGTTTTAGGGGGGCGTGGCAGAGTCTTAACTTTGATAAAGAATATCTCTTTGGTTTTGAGACTTTAGTCTTTGCAACTTCAGGGATCTTATCTATGCACAATCAGCTTGTAACACTCCAAAGAGAAAGGAAAACTTGAAATCGCATCATATGACCCCTTTAAAGGGTATCACAGACAAGTTAAAATCATTTAACAGAAATTTCATTCTTCGGGCTTTTTGGTTTGAAAAAAAAAAAAAACAGTTAAGTAAACTTTAAAGGGTGTTTGAAAAGGAGCAAAATTATGTTTTGCGTTATTCCGTTTGGTCTGATGAATGTAAAATTTTCCTAACAGCAATATCCATAGATTGTGTTTTGTTTTAATAAAAAGGCAAAAAGATTAAAGCTAATTGAATGTTTCGTTATGTACGTTGTACTGTTACTAGTAATCCATCACAGTACGTAATTAGTTGTAAATAATTAATTACAGTATTTAGTTACATTTGTGCCTCAATAATGATTGGGCGTTCATTTTTATCTTATTTGAAATATGCTAATGATTTAAACACTGTCTAAATGGCCAGTAAAAACCCTATACTCTGGTAAAAGCGTGTTGGGTTTTTTGTTTATTCGTGGACAGGAAGTGCTGTCGGTGACGGCGGGCGACTCCATTTTAGGCTTCATTCATCTTCGCAGCCAGTGATATTACGTGCTCGCTACGGTAAGGCAATGCTGTTCCTGCATAACTCTTGATTACTTTATATGAGAGCTACTGTTTAGATTTTACATTAAGGTAATGCAGTCTGGCGTAGTACTGTAATATAATAGCATGTTTCTTAATAAGGCGACGTTTAGCTTGGGTAACTTTATGTAGTCGTGCTAACTTAGCTTAGCATTACACAGTCGAATCCATTGGCCTACAGCTCTGAAAACTCCACCGACGCTCATCGGTCGTACTTAATCGTGTATCGGGCATTAAAACACACTTGAATGATGACCAATAAAACTTAAGGGAATTAATACGTTGGGTGTGGTGGTCACGCGGATACGTGGCCTAGCAACGCGAGATAATTCATCTGCGCCATAAAGTCCAAGAACTGAACCTGGTCATCTACTTTACGCACTCAACGCACTTTCATCCGATCCGTGAGTGTCACACACAGCATATTTAATGCTGAGTTGTGCGTAAATCATTCTGGCCAGAAGCCACAAAATCGAAACTAAAACCTCTGATAGGATTAAGATGTCTATGGTTTTGTAAGCCAACACAGCAGTAATGTAGGAATCAATCATCTGTTGATATAACGTGCATTTCGCAACTATGCTCCCTCTGTCCAGGAAAAAACGACAATAAAGATGGTTAAGATCTTTGTTGGCAACCTATCCTCAAGCACGACCGCGGAAGATCTGCGCTCTCTTTTTTCTGAATATGGCAAAGTAAAAGAGTGTGACGTCCTGAAAAATTATGGCTTTGTGCACATGGAAGGTAAGCAGGAGGCCGAAGAGGCTATCCGCAAACTCCACCATCACGAGATGAACGGTCAAGCCATAAATGTGGAGATGAGCAAGGGGAAGCCCAGGGGCTCCACCAAACTGCATGTGAACAACATAAGCAGTGGCTGCACCAATCAGGAGCTCCGGGCCAAGTTTGAGGAGTATGGCCCTGTGGTTGAGTGTGACATAGTGAAGGACTATGCCTTTGTTCACATGGAGCGAATGGAGGATGCCATGGAGGTCATCAGTGGGCTGGATAACACGACCTTCCAAGGTGAACATTAACCTCGAAACGACGAAATCCATGGTTACCCAGGGTTGCATTTTTTTTTAGAATGGGAAGAATGTTCTACTCCTTTTTCAGTTCTTTGTAATTGCTAAAGAGAATTCATTTTCTAGATAATTGGCAGTAGACAGATATATTAATATTTAAAGGAGAGTTCATCCAAAAATCTCTGTTCACTTTCATGTTGTTCCAAAACTCACAAGATTTTCGTTTATCTTGGAAACACAAATTCAATTTTACATTTACATGTCATTAGTCATATCCAAATCGACTTACAAGTGATGACAATAGAAGCAATCAAACAAAAGAGCAATGATATGCAAGTGGTATGACCATTCTCTGTTAGCCTGACGCAGCACACGTAGCAAGGTTTTATTTATATATATTTCTTATATATAAATGGAGATTTCTGCTCCTCCATTGAAAGTTCATGTAACCAAAACTTTGCTGATTCAAAAAGTTAATGATAAACATTGTAAGCACACATACATAGAGCACATTTAATATGGTTAACAGGCTTTCAGTGGAGGAACAAAAATCTGAGAAGTTTCTTTAAAATATCCTAATTTGTGTTTCGAAGATGAACAAAAGTTTTATGGGTTTGGATCGACATGACGGCAAGTAAACAATGGCAGAATTTAAATTTTTGGGCAACCTGACCCTTTAAGTGCTCTGTAACTATCGTGATACAATAATTCTCTTTTAAAATGACGGTTTACGTGAGCGGAAGAAAGTTTTACATTGTCTTGCGTGTGTTCTCTTCCTCCCACAAGGCAAGCTGATCAAAGTACAACTGTCCACAAGTCGCCTCCGTACAGCGCCCGGCATGGGAGACCAAACTGGCTGTTACGTCTGCGGAGAACCAGGCCATTGGTCCAAAGATTGCGGACGTGGCCAAAATGGAAGCTATGGCGGAGGCATGGGGGGATTCCCCGGCGGTAGAGGCCCCCCAAGGAGCGCCCCGAGTTACGGCATGGGCGGCCCTGGAGGTCTTCCTAGTAGAGGTTACCCAGCAGGGCCGCTCCCCCCTCCCCCACCCATGAGCCGGCGTCCCAGCTACGGCGAGTACAGCGTGGATGCTCGAGAACGGTACCCAAGCAGGCCGCCGAGCGCCTATCCCGAGAGGTCATCCGCATATGAGCGAGAACGCTACGGAAGCATTGACTATTATGAGAAGTATCGGGCTCGTCCGGCTGGCTCTAGCTTCTTCGAGAATAGCAGGCCTCTCTCTATTCCCCCTCCTCCTCCTCCCCCCCCTCCCTCTTCTTCCTCTCTCTCAAGGATGCGGTTGGCTCCTCCCAGCCTCGATCCCTATGAGCGACGCCCTCTGGCGCCTCCGCCTCCCACGGCATCGGCGTACTTCTCGCGGGACCGTAGCCCAATCAGACGTGTGGGCGCCGGTTCGGAAGGATACTCGTACGAGCGCTCGCGACTTTCCCCGGTCTCAAGGAGCTCATCGACTTACGCCGTGCCGCGGGCCAGAGAGAACTACACCGAGCGGGTTCGATACGCATACTAAGCCCACACACATGCTAAGGTGAGCGATAGCGGGTCGTTAACTTTGATGACTCAGATGAGATGTCAGCGTGATCTGTTCTAAAGCGCAAGCCGTTTCGAGTACAGTAGTAAGCGGAGCCGCTTTGCTCGGGTTAAAAAGTACAAAAGTCAGAAAGTAATGCCTATCGAATGTTTCATCTCACAAATTTGTTCCTTTTTTTTTTTATTTTAGGTGTTGTCAAGTGAAGAGACTTCCCCTCCACCTATATGACTTTGCCTCAATCAGACGCTCCATCGGATTTCAAAGATGCAGGATTGGATAGGCACATTGATCACAATGCTTATTAGATCTGCGTGTTAATGTTTTACCCATAATGCACAAACTGCTGTTTAATTTCCCTTTCCAATGGAGACATCTGTGTATGATTGCAAGAAGTGATTTTGGTTTTTGCTTTGCTTTTCGCTTACATCCAGAGGTAAGGTGGGGTGTCTAATGTCAGCGTAATTTTAACTATTAACTGCAATTAAACAGACACTTTGTGAGATTTTAAATTGTACTTTCGTCTCTTAATTTCCCCCAGTCAAGTTGTGATCCACTATTATT